ATAATAACAATGATAATTGCATGTTGTCAAGTCAATTCCAGCTTATGGCATACCTATCCAGGGTTTTCTAGGTATAGAGTAATCAGAAGTGGTTTACCATTCCCTTCTTCTGGGACTGTGCAGCTTGCCTACGGCTGTACAGGCTGGTTCGTCTCTGGGAGGCAAAGTGGGGAATCAAAGCCTTGGACTCTGCAGTTGGATAACTAACTCACTGTGCTATCCAGCCAGAAATTCTAAATACATTGTGAATATTTATACCCATAAAACTTACTTTTTAAAATGAAATATAATGGCTTTCCCTCTGACCAAAAGCCCCACTGTATTTGAGTGATAGTATACATTATTTCATAGGTTTTAGTGAAGGTGAGGTGGTTTATTGTCTTTGGATTTGTCTTCACAAACTGAATACTTCATTCAGGATTAGCTGCTTTACTTTGTTGTTGAACTACTGTATGTGTATTTGTTACAGATTGTCTTAAAATGAATAAAGTAGGCTAGAGTGAGGAAATGAACTAACTCAGGGTGAAGAGAGATTGGTCAAAGGCTGAACCTGGAATGCATTTTCGAAGACTTTCACGGCCAGGATCTGATGGTTGTCATGGGTTTTTCGGGCTCTTTGGCCGTGTTCTGAAGGTTGTTCTTCCTGACGTTTCGCCAGTCTCTGTGGCCGGCATCTTCAGAGGACTGGAGTAGGAACTCTGTCCATGCTCTGTTGCTATTTGTTGGATAATTGAGTATTTATAGCTGTGGGAACAGCATTTGTCCTTTCCAGGAGATAGGGTGATCAGCGTGTTTTTGTTGTGGATGTATTGTGATAAGTGGGAGAGATTATCTGTCACTGTGGTTGATGGGTGTCTTTAGCTGTTCTTTTTTCTGCAATGATCCCTCGTCCTTTTTTCTGCAATGATCCCTGGGTAGTTTGTTGACCTTCTGCAGGCTGTATTTTCCAGTGCTGGAAGCCAGGCCTTATTAAGTTTCAGACTTTCCTCTTTTTTGTTGAAGCTATGCTGAAGTTTATGGGTTTCAATGGCTTCCCTGTGCACTCTTAACATATAGATTGCTGGTGTTGTCCAGTACATCTGTATTTTGAAATAGAATTTCATGTCCAGCTTGTTTTAGGGCATGTTCAGCTACTGCTGATTTTTCCAGTTGTTTTAGTCTGCAGTGTCTCTCATGTTCTTTGATTCTGGTGAGATTGCTGCGTTTTGTGGTTCCAATATATACCTGTCCACAACTGCAGGGTATCTGGTATACTCTGCAGTGGTGAGGGGGTCCCTTTTGTCCTTTGCTGACCATAACATTTGTTGTATTTTTATGGTGGGTCTGAATACTGTTTGTAGGTTGTGTTTTCTCAGATGTTTTCCCATGTGGTCCATGCCCCCTTTGATGTATGACAGAAATACTTTATTTGTGGGTGGCTGTTTTTCCTCTTCAGTTTGGTGTTGTTTTCTTGGTTTGATGGCTCTTTTGATTTCATTATTGGACTAGCCATTCGCCTGTAGGGTTGAGTTCGGTGCTGAGAAAACTGAGCTTCACAGTTCCGATTTGCACGGTCTACCAGTGTTTTGATTATGCCTCTTTTTTGCTGTTGGTGGTGGTTGGAGGTTTTGTGTAGGTACCGGTCTGTCTGGGTGGGTTTTCTGTAGGCCTTGTGTCCCAGTCGGAGGTCAGTTTTGCGTAGGACCATGACATCTAAGAACGGGAGTTGGCCCTCTTATTTCTTTTTCCATGGTGAATTATAAATTTGGGTGGATGCTATTAAGATGGTTTAGAAATTCTTCCAGTTTTTCTTCACCGTAGTTCCAAATTGCTAAGGTGTCATCCGCGTATCGGGACTAGACTGTGGGTGTGAAGGGTGCTGAAGCCAGGGCCTGTTTTTCGAAATGTTCCATGTAGAAGTCTGCTATAACTGGGCTGAGGGGGCTGGAAGCTTTATCCAACTTTGGAGAAGATGGAAAATAAAATGGCCAGAATCCTAATAGTGCTTGTGCAATATCAGACATGCCCAAAGCTTTTGTTAGTAGAGTTTTGTCTTTGAATGTCTGACGCAGATCAAAACACTAACTGATTTGGATATAGTGACCCATAATTTTAAAGCTCTGGAAAAGTGATCTTTGGTGAAATTGGATGCACAGTTTAGTTTTTTTAAGACTTACAGTTCCATACTTAACTGTCTTTTACAAACAGTAAGGCAACTAAGAAAGTTGACTGTTGTAGTGTCTGTCAATTCAGTTTGGTTTCATCAAGCATAGTACAAGAAATCACATGATAACAGTATGTATGGCAACATGTAAGGAGGGACAAAGTGGAAAGAAAGTGAGAGTATGGATGCTACATTACCATTATAGTTGAGCCTGGACAACTCTCCCCCCTTTTGTGTATATTAAAATACAAGGAGCTTAAGTAGGAGTGCCTAAAGACTTGATTATACTTAATAGAAAGGTGGCTTCTTTCATTGCTGCAGAAAGGAATGACTGAATGAAAATGGGCATATCCTAATCTTAAAAGAAATAACTCATTATATGAGAATAAACAATAGGGAACCATTCTAGCTTGATGTTAATTTCATCCTGGACAACTCTCCCCCCTTTGACTATGGTTTGAATCTATACTTAATCATACTTCTTGTTGTTATGTGCTGTCAGTTCACAATTTGGTGACCCCCATGAATGAGTGAGTCATACTTAGAATGGACTTATTATCATCTGTTGGGTTTAATTTAGTCCCAGTTTACGCTGAAATCAGTGGGACCTGACTGTCAGTTCTCGCATTGATACACTAGAATTGTTTAAGTCTGGAGCTCCACCTCCAAGTACGGTCGCTTATGTTCAGAGCTTTAAAATTCAATAATTTGCCTGGTTTAGAGCAGCTCTGATTTCTCTCTAAACTTCAGTCATTTTGATTTCCCCTTCTTAGATTGTTTAAAGGTAAACAGGAAGAATGTTGGAAGTTTATTTTTAACAAAAAAAAATTAAAATAAAGACTTAAAAGGTGGAGATTTCAAATAGCAACAACAACAACAACAATAATAGTAACAATAACAATAACAACAATAAGAGTAAAAAAACAATAATAATAACAACAACAGCATGTTTCTCCAAAAATAAGATATATTATATTATATTAATTTTTGCTGCAAAAAACGCATTAGGGCTTATTTTCAGGGGATGTTTTATTTTTTTCATGGACAACAATCTACATTTATTCAAATATAGCCATGTCATCTGCTTGCTGCACAATGGTGGAGGGTTGGTTTCACTTAACTGAGGCTTACGAGCATCCTGAAAAATCATACT